ACTATTAAAAAGCACAATGAGGGTCACGTTTAAGGAAATGATTTTAAATAACACTCCTTCAATAAGGTAAGCTATTTGTCTGTAAAAACCTAAGGCATGTAAAAAAAAAAAAAGCAAAGAATATGAAAACAGACATTATTAAGTTTTGACCAGGCAATAAATTCAAGTTACCAAGGTGAGGCCACATTGAGAACAATCGAGATGTGAACCAAGTCCAATGATCTTGGAAGTAGCCATCTTCTGTTTTTACCCACTAGGGTGTTTCTGCTTCAGTGCAAAAGGAGTGCTGCAGTTCCTTAAATCAGTGATAGTGTGTCTGGTAGCGTAGCGGTTATGAATCGGGCTGCTAACCTCAAGGTTAGCAGTTTGAAGCTACCAGCTGTTCCATGGAAGAAGGAGAAAGATGAGGCTTTCTGCTCCTGTGAAGGGTCGATATGAGTTGGAACTGACTCCATGTCACATAGCCACCACCATCAATGTGTTTAAAGTTAAACACAGCAAAGTTCAGTTTAACCTAGCAGGGTTATGACTGAGTCTTTCTGGTGTCTCTTCTAATACATAACATTATGGGGTGGAATCTGGTAAATTTTGGGGTCAAATATTCTCACCTATGAAAGATGGGTCCTAATAATTTATAATGTCATTATTCTATTTTATCTTTGTGCTTAATTTGTCCTTTATTATTTTTATTTTCTCATTTGTTTCTAGTAATTGCTTACTTCCACGATGTATAAAATTCAGAATGATCAACCCTTAATGCATAATAAGAACTAGAAACATACAATGGAGCAGGTATTTATGTGGAGATTGATGCATGGCTTTCCTATAGGCAAAAGCCCCAGAAATCGACCTTACAGTCTGAGATTGCTCCCTGAATTTGTATACTTGAACTGAGAATTGGAAAGACTGGTATAGTCTGAATAGTTGGGGAACATCTGCAACGTGGATAGCAGCCTGCTGACCACTGGTGACACATGATCTAAGTTCTCCAACTCACTACAGACCTGTGACCATCTGGCTTCTATGTTTTCACCACCACAACGCATTGCCATCAAGTTGATTTTAACTCATAGTGACTGCGTATAGTATTTCCAAGACTGTAAATGTTTTTTGGTGTGTGTGTGGGTGTTATGGTTGGGACTAGGGTTAGTGTTAGGAGTAAGGGTTTGGCTAGAACTAGGAGTAAGGCTTGGTCTTGATTTTAGTGTTACAGTTAGGTTTTATTTACTAATTTTTTTTTTTTTTTATGACTTGGTATCCTCTTAATTTGGAAGTTCTTCAACTACATTATTCTCTCTTGTCACTTCTTTACTTTATGTTTTTGTTATTGCTATTGCAAATATATCTCTGGTTATCAATTTTCAGTCTGTTTTTCATTGAATACTTACATATTTAGGTTGAGTCTAGGTGATATTGTCATGTATGTTAGTCTCAGGTTGTTGTTTGCTGTTGTTGGCTCCCTGTCCAAAGAACTCCCTTTAATATTTTTTGTAAGGTTGTTCTAGTTTTTGTAAATTATTTTAATTACTGTTTATCTGAAAATGATCTAATTTCACCATCATATTTGATGGATAGTTTTGCTGGGTATATGATTCTTGGTTGATAATTCTTTTCTTTCAGAGTTTTATATATGTCATTCCATGGTCTTCTTGACTGCATGGTTTCTGCTGAGAAATCAGAGCTCAGTCTTATTAATTCTCCTTTGTAGGTAACTTTTTGGTTATTTTCCCTGTGCTGTTCTCAGTATTCTTTCCTTGTTTTTGCCTTTGAAACATTTCATTGTAATTGTTGTTGTTGCTGTTAGGTGCCATCGAGTTAGTACCAACTCATAGTGACCTTATGCACAACAGAACGAAACATTGCCCAATCCTAGGCCAACCTCACTGTCGTTGCCATGCTTGAGCCCATTGATGCTGCCACTTTGCCAATCCATCTCGCTGGAGGTCTTCATTGTAATAGGTACTGTTTTTTTCTATCCTGTTTAGAGTTCATTTAAATTTTTTGTAGGAATGTCTTATGGAATGTGACAGCCTCATCTTCCTCCTAAGGAGTGGCTGGTGAGTTTGAGCTTCTGACCTATGGGATATCATTCTGATACTTGGCCCACTGTGCCACCAGGGGTCCTTATTTTAGCAATATGACAGTTAATTTTTTGTGTGTGGTAAAATATACACACCATAAAAGGTACCATTTTAATAATTTTTAAGTGTATGATCCAGTGACAATATCGCATTATTAAATGTACAACCATCACCACTGTTGGTTTCCCAAAGTTTTTTCATCATACCAAACAGAAATTCTGTACCCATTAAACAATAACTCCTCCTTCCTCCCTCACCAAACCTATGTTGTTGTGGTTGTTAAGTGCCATCAAGTCGGTTCCCATAGCGACCCTGTGTAGGGTTTCCGAGGAGTGGCTGGTGAGCTTGAATCGCTGACCTTGTTGTTCAAAAGACTTTGCAATTCAGCACATTAACCCACAGGCCACACCAGGACTTCACCAAACCTATGTTGTTGTTGTTGTTAAGTGCCATCGAGTTGATTCCGACCCATAGCAATCCCCTGTATAGGGTTTCCAAGGAGTAACTGGTAAGCTTGAACCACTGACCTTGCAGTTGAAATGACTTTGCAGTCTGACGCATTAGCCCACAGCGCCACACCAGGACTCCACCAAACCTATAGCAATCCCTAGTTTATTTTCTATGTGTCTGCATTTATCTGTTCAGATATCGCATTTAAATGGAATCATATTTGCCTTTTTTTGTCTGGCTTATTTAACTTAGTATAATGTTTTCAAAGTTCATTCTTTCTTATGGCAGATATTTTTAAAACTTGTTTTTTTGTAATGTACTCAACTTGCCCTTTATTAACAGCAAACCATTTCCTTTTAAAAAAATTCTTGTCTACTGTTGTTGTTAAGTATTGTTGAGTAGATTTCGATACATAGCAACCCTGTATGCTGGTAGGTTTGAACCACCGATCTTGCAGTTAGCAGTCCAGTGCTAATGCTACAGTGCCACACCAGGAACCCTCTCATCTACTGCTGTTGTTATTGTTAAGTGCTGTTGAGTCCGTTCTGATTCCTAGGTTCTGACTCACAGGAACTGCCTATGTTGCAGTTCAAGCCTACTTTGCAGTCCAGTGCATTGACCCACAGTGCCACACCAGGATTCATCTACTAGGGGGCAATAAAACCTTTGAGAAATAATTCCATTATCTTTTAAATCCATTTTTCCACGAACTTTTTAAAGGTCTTTTTTATTTTCAAGTATCCATTAAATCTTGTAATTCTTTAAACCAAAGGATATTGAGCCCAGGCTAAATGGGTTCATGTTCTCTTAGTTTTGGAATACTCTTCTGCCTTCAAAGAGAAAAGTTGGCAGGTAGACCATTGTTCATGTGGAGGTTGTACCCTAGGTCATAGGCCAGAGTAACCTCAAAGCCACCTAAGCCACCCCCTCAAATTGCAAATGAGAAAACTGGCTTTGGAGTTCTTGGTCTTATTTAAGAGCACACACACTGGAGTCAGGAGTCAGAGCCAAGACTAGAATCTATGGACCTAAACATAGGAGGGTCTGACACCCTGTGTAATAAGGGGACTGTGGTGTCAGTGTGGTTCTATGGACTATCCTCCTGGCTCCACACTGGCCTCACTGCTCTCTGACTTCCCTCTGAAGCAGGGCAGGCATCTGTCTACTCTGAGGCATGTGTCCTCTGTGACCAGCACACTAATGACGCTGTCCGGGTTTGTTGTTGTTGCTGTTGTTAAGTGCCATCGAGTCAGTTCCAATTCATAGCAACTCTGTATAGGGTTTGCAAGGAGCGGCTTGTGAGCTTGAACCGCCAACCTTGTGGTTTAAACTGATTTTGCAATCCAGAGCATTAACCCACAATGCCACATCAGTCCTGGTTTGTGGAAGGGGGGTCAATGTGAGAGTCTTCTAGCTGGCTGACGGGACATTTCTGGGTTTGCACCTCAGATATGAGCCTGATTCACGAGGTGGGCTGGAATGCTAAATGATGAATTTACAGTAGGCCCTTAGACTCCTTCACAAGATGACTGTCAGTTAAAGGGCAGGGTCCTTAACAGTCGTGAAGAGAAACCACTGTCTGTCCCTTGTCAAGGCTAGTCAGTCCTGTCCACTGACAACTTTGTTCCTGTAGAAGAGAGCCCATCATGAAGTATCAGGCCGCCAGGTGTCTTCTGATTATTAGCCAGGAGTTCCTGTTGTATAGGTGCTGATTTCAACTCTGGCTTTGGTGGAGTGTTGTTGTTGTTATGTGCCGTGGAGTCGCTTCCTACTCATAGTGACCCTGTACAGAGTTTCTGAGGCTGTAAATCTTTACGGGCGCAGAAAGCCTCATCTTTCTCCCTAGGAACCACTGGTAGTTTCGAACTGCTGACCTTAAGGTTTGCAGCCTGATTCGCAACCACTACACTACCAGAGGTCCTTGGTGGAATGTAGCAGTCACATTTTGGCCTGACTTGGTCAGCCTGAGCCTCACAGTCCTTGGGAACCTGGCGCTCAGGAGCTAAGGCCCCGGGGTAAGGGAAACAAGGAACTTTGCTCTTTTTGTGTTTTTGGCTTGTCCTCCCAAGTACACCTCGATCTCCCACTGGATGTAGCAGAAATCTGAATGAGAGCAGAGGAAGTCCTGAGGGATCTGCAGAATCTGGAGACCTAAACACAGGCGCCTTAGGCTTCTGTGCGTCCAAACCTCGGCTACTAGAATCTTCTGCTGGTGGTAGAAACGGAATTTACTTCCTTCTGCGATCTGGGCTTGGAGCCCAGAGGTCAGAGAGGGAGGGGAACGGGGGAGTGGGGGAGGATTTTGTGTCTCAGGACCAGGCGGTGGGTGGGGCTGGGGACCTGGGCCCAAACTGCGGAGCGAGGGGCGGAGCTCAGTGTCTAGGATCGTCCCGACACAGGGCTGCCCAGATAAACTCAGACTTCAGCTCCCTTGAGACTAGTTGGCAAAGGCACGGAAACGAGAGCACCATGCCCATGATTCTGGGATACTGGGACCTCCGCGGGGTGAGCAAGGGGTCCACCTGTCATATGGACAGGGGTGTGGGGGCGAGGAAGTGCTGAGAAGCTCAGGGATCAATTTAGAACGTAGATTCCTCTTTCAGACTTTGCTGGAGAGGAGATCTGTATTGCAGCCTGCTTCTCTCCAGGCTGAATATTTTGGGCCTGGATGGGGTAGAGGGTGGGGCTTAGTGTAGAGACATCAGTTCCTTTGTGGTGTGGAGGCTCTGGCTTACCTGGAGGAGGTGAAACAGGTAGTCTCCTTCCATCTGTGATCCACTCCTGTGCTGTCTCTCCCAGCTGGGTCATGCCGTCCGCCTGCTCCTGGAATACACAGACTCCAACTATGAGGAAAAGAAATACGCGATGGGAGATGGTAATAGCACCCTTGCATTGGTCCCTCTGCCAACTAGTGCTAATTTAGTACATGCAGCCCATGCCCTGGCCTCCACCAGCTGGATCTGGGCCTGCCCCTCTAGGGATCCATTTGGTTGTGCAGCTCTGGCCTGCCTATTGTGCATGCTGGGAAGGATCTGCTGCCCCCACTCTATCAATGACTGGAGTGGGGTTACCAGCCAGTTAGGACTTGCCTGAACCTTTTTATAAGCCTACTCTCAGAGTGAGACTTAGGCTCAGGGAGTCTTGTATGGACTCTTGGAATGGTTTCTGGAGAAGGAAAGTTGGACCCTGAGGAAGTTTGTTTTCATTTCATTGTTTCTTATCATAGCTCCTGACTTTGACAGAAGCCAGTGGCTGAATGAAAAATTCAAGCTGGGCCTGGATTTTCCCAATGTAGGTGTTGGGTGTGGTGGGAATGAAAGGTGTCTTTCCATTTGTCTCCGTTCTCCAAATTGGGGGTTTTGAGATCAAGTGTCCTTTGCTCCATCTCTCTCATGCCTGGCTCTCTTTACCGCCTTTCCATGATACCTGTATTCTGGATCATGCACACACTGTAGACATAATTATTTAGTGCCACCAAGGGCCAGACCTGAGTGTGCCAGGTCCCAGCTCTGTCCTTGTTTAGGGGAAGGGGGTACCGGAGAACCTGGTGGTAAAAGAGACCTGCCTGTTACTTTTGCAGCTGCCCTACTTAATTGATGGGGCTCACAAGATCACCCAGAGCAATGCCATCCTGCGCTATATTGCCCGCAAGCACAACATGAGTAAGTGGGGCTGGGGCAGGTGTGGGCGCATAGGAGGCCAGACAGCCGTTCCCTGAGCTTGGCTGGGGTGGGATGCTGAGGGTGAGTGTTTGATGTGTGGGCCGCAGGTGGGGAGACAGAAGAGGAGAAGATCCGCGTGGACATCATGGAGAACCAGGTTATGGACACCCGCATGGAGCTGGCCAGGGTGTGCTACAGCCCTGATTTTGTGAGTTCCCAATGGGCTGGGTCAGGATTGGGAGTTGGAATCTTTCATTCCCATCTACAGTTGTCCTTTTGTCATTAAGGAGCTCTGGTGGCACTGTAGGATAAACACTGGACTGTTAATTATAAGGTTGATGGTTCAAACCCACTAGCTACTCCATGGGAGAAAGATGAAGCTGTCTGATCCCATAAAGATTTACTGTCTCTCAAATACTATACAGAGTCAATATGACTCAGAAATGGCTTGAAGGCAATGGGTATGTCATTTGAACACATTAGAGCTACGGATCCTTCAAGGGGTCCCCAATACAGAGGACCTTAATAACCTTAAAGCTCAACAAATGAAAACTCTGAATCAATCATCTCCAATTTTAGAATAAAGTCTAGACTCCACAATGTAGAAATTAAATTTCTTAACAATGTGTTTAAGCTATTCCCCATTACCATTTCCAGGACCCTGAGGGAATTCCCCTACATGTCATTTATTAACCACACAGTGCCACACATAGTATTTCTGTTTCTGCAAGAAACATCAGTCCTTTCATCATTGCCAATTCTGCTGGTCTTTCAGGAGACTACCCAAGTGTCTTCTCCATTCTTGTTCCTTCCCACAGACTAGAACTTCCACCTCTTTCCCTGAGCTCTAGTACTCTGTTTCCCTTGACACCTGAGTCGCACACTTGGCCAGGGGCTCACAGCTCTCCTGGGTCTGGGCTGTAGGTGGGTTGATGGAGATCAGTGGGGACAGAATCCAGTCAGTGTTATTTTCCTCTCTGTTCTTTATGCTCTAACATGAGGGTTGAGACATAGTAGGAGTCTAAAAAAACACTGGTTGGAGTAAATGGAAGCCTGGGCAATGGCCAAGGGGCAGTGTTGGAAGAGTTACTGCACTCTTTTGGTCAGCTGGGTCATCCCAGCAGTGGGAGAATGGCCTCTCTGCCCAGGAAGTGGGGTCTGAGGGTGATGACAGCCGTTTTCTGCTCCAGGAGAAACTGAAGCCACAGTACTTGGAGGGGCTCCCTGGAAAGATGAAACTCTTCTCACAGTTCCTGGGGAAGCGGCCGTGGTTTGCAGGGGACAAGGTAAAGGGGAATGAGACGGGCAACATGGAGTTGTGTTTCTTCCCAGAGCGTCTTACCTACTCATCCTTGACTTTCTGCAGATCACCTTTGTGGATTTCCTTGTTTACGATGTGCTTGATGTTATCCGAGTCTTTGAGCCCAAGTGTCTGGATGCATTCCCAAACCTGAAGGACTTCATGGTTCGCTTTGAGGTGATGCCCCCCTGATCCTCCCTCCTCTCTGATGTTTTTCTTTTTCCTTCTGTCTTCTCCATTATGCTTTCCTAGTTTGAGATCTAAAACTAACAATAAATAACTAGCATTCATGGAGCGTTTGCTTCATGGTGCAAACTGTCTTCAGCATTTTTTATATAAAGAACTTCAAAAAAGTCCATGGAAAAATTCCATTACCTTTTAATTGCATTTGTCCATTAACTTTCTGACGGACCCTTATATTGTGCCAGATTTAATCTTCACAACGCTACTATAAGGTGGATATCCTCCCATTGTGCAGATGAGGAAACTGAAGGTGAAGGGGGTAAGGAATTTTTGAAGGTCACAGAGTTAGTTCCCGCTATGTTGAGATTTCTGTCAGCCTTTATGGACAATAGTCAATGGCTCTCCTTTTTCTGTGCTGAAAGGGAAAACTCAGGCCCTTTTGATGCCTGAGAGTATATGAATGAGGCAGAACGAATGTGTGTGTATGTAGCTGATAGGACTAGGATTGAGACAAGATAGGATTGCCGTAAATTCCAAAGCTACAGACTGGATTTATACTTGACCTCCAGAAAGATTTGCATCAATTTGGTCCACATCTGGTTATCTCTGAAGTTTCCAGGTCTGGAGAGGTCCCAGGGTTTGAGTGTTTATGTGGGTGCCCCATGAAGGATTTTACTTAAAGTGGTCTATAGTGGATCAGTGGCCTTCTCTCCACTCTCCTCCTACCCTTTCTGCTTCTCCATTGTCCTAGGTTCTCCATGTCTGAGATGGTCAGTACAGTTATACTAACTCCTGTCCACAGCTGGTCTCCTGTGGATGAGGTACTGGGTCAGGCCCAGTAGGGCCTGTAAAGAGGGCTCTGCCCTGGAGCCCACCCTCCAGGAACTCAGTGTGGTTGGATAACTGCAGCTATAACAGCTCTATGGGGATGTAGTGCCAACTAGGCCCTAGGGGAACACTGCCAGTCATCCATCTCATTGTGGTCAGTTGATTTGAGAACAACCCGGTCTACTTGATTACAGATTTGAGAATTTGAGGCTTTTTAACTGGGAGTTCTTGTTTCTTTTACCTTTCCCATAAAGAGATCTGCTCTCTTGATTAGTTCTCATCTAATTCTGGGTTTGGTCCAAGCTGAGCTTCTTTGAGACAATTCACGAGCTAAAATGACTGTGAAGATCAGCTGTGGACAGGGTCCTACAGTCTGTTGAGGTTTGGTTCCATTGGGTTTAAGAAGGCCCAGTTTTCTTTGAATCCTTTAAAAATCCTCTCTCCTGTTATTACAACCCCAAACACACACCTGTGTGTCATACAGCCTTAGCTAGAGGTGAGGGAAGGTTCAGTGAGATTGGGTTCAGCTGTCAGGCTGAGAAGCTTGGACTGTCCTGCTGGTAGAGTAATTAGATCCTGGTTCGCCCAGCTCTGTTAGTCCAACTCCCCCTGCCAACCTTCCTCCAGGTTTGCTGAGTCATTCAGTGAGCTCCTGGCCTCTCTTGCAGGCCTCACTGGCATGTTCTGAGACC